GTTCCATAGCTGTTCATCCTCCTATTGACATCCATCCTCTTACCCTTTAAATAAATGATGCAGTTGATTTTGTGCAGACCAAGCTTGCTGCTTTTGAGGCTTTCTGAGGAATGTGCTGAGCTGGGCTCATCCTACTCCAGATTTGCTGCTCTCCACAGCATAGTAGCTCTCTTCATCAGAGGTGGCAGATTACGAAACAGAGATAAAAACTCCCTTGAAATTTTTCTTTTCCTTATGTTTCTTAGCCAAGAAATGAGAAGAAAGAGGCGTTTGTTCAGCATTTCTGGTAGAGGCGTGCTGCCTGCATGTATATTGCATTGAGACAGCACTCCCTGGGAGTGATCAGAATTAGTCACAGAGATGAAATGCATGTGGACAGAATTGGTTAGCAACTTTCTGAAAGCCTCCTTCTTTCTTTGATATGTTCCCTGTGGTTTTGAAGTGCATCACTACCATGTTTGATATTTTATTAACAATAATTGTATTTCCCTCTTTTCTTTTGAGCATTTCAAAGAGTTTTGGAAGTATTAATTGGTATCTGCCCTCTGACTTCTACGAAGAAAGTGAAAATAAGGTCTTGTCAAATATGTTTGTTGAAAAAAAAGTACTAAGAATAATACTGAGAATATTAAGAATACCACTGAGAATAAACAGTTCAGTAGTGATTATTGAGTCATCTCTACTCACAACACTTGTGTTGGCTTGTAATGTCCAAGTCCAATAAGTTGCTGGTTTGTACTTTGTTCTTCAGAGATGTCTGTGTTCTCTGAGATCCTGGGGAGCCGCCTTGCAGCTCTACACAGCACATTCTTCTGGGATAAAAATCCTACAGATAACAAATAAATGGTCACAGAACCTTCATAAGGCCACTTCTTGAGGTCATTAAGAAGCATTCTAGACCTGGGCTCCTGAGGGTGCTGGTATCTGTAGGTATTTCACTATGGAAGGCAGCAAAATTCCCAGAAGGGAGGATCCTGGAGGTTGCTTCCATCAGGGAGCCCTGTCCCATTGTGTCTGTGCCCTGTACTGGGAGACAGAGAAAGTGTCCTTAGTGAACCAGAGCAGCACTGGTGTTTCTGGGGAAGAAAAGCTGTAAAGAAGTTAGGATAAGGCTAGCAGCACACGTGCCAAGCTGCTGATCAGAGGAACACAGAACTGTGTGGTTTTCAACACCCATCCCCTGTCCTGCTCTGTGCCTGCTGGCCCATGCTCTCCCTTCAGCATGCAGAAGGTGCTCTGTGACAGAGACCTTTCTGTGATGGTGCTGCTGATAAAATGTTTCTCCCTCTGGAGAATTTTTTTATTTAAGAGGGAAGATGTAACCGAATTTTAACCCCAAATACCGACAGCCCTGAAGTCACACATCTGAATAGGTTTACAGGTGATGAGCTATGAATTTTATGGACTTTGCTCTCCACAGCTTTTCTCCCTCTCTCTCACTGCATTTCTCCCTGAAATGGCTTTCCTGATGTGGCCAGCATTCATTTACTGTGATCTTTACATTTTGAAAACTCTTCATTCCCTGCTCTTCTAATGACTTGGCTTCTAGAGAATCCATCAATTATAAAATATTTTAAGGCATTTCTCGAGTGTTTCTGTCAGTATAATCTCAGCTGCATGTTAAGTGTACTTTCAACCTGAGGTGAAGGTTTATTTAGTGCAAGATGAATATTAAAACATGCAGGAGAGAATTCTTATATTCTTTATTTTTGTTGCTGTTGGGCACCTGAATGCAGATACAACAGGTTTCAGTAGATCCTGGGAGGAATAGATTGAGTTAGGGTTGGTTAAGATTTTCTGTGAGTTTTCTTAAATGTGAAAGCCACTCTGCAAATGAGTGTTTATCCCCTATATTTCTGAACAGTGGCAAAAACAGGACTGAAAGGCACCACTTTAACCCTCAGCATTTGTTCAGCACCTGCTCACAGATGTGTCTGAATATTAAGGAGAAATTCATATGGTGCTCAACAGCATAAAAAGTGTCAGGATGTGCGTGAACAAGCAGGAGGAAATATCGATGTGAGCATGTAGGAGGGGAAAGACTATTACAAGGGCAATCCAATTAATGCAAATGATGCACGCAGATGTCTGTGGCTTTTTAGAGCTGCACTCCATAAGAGCTGTGCATGAGGGGTGAGGGAGGGGAGTACTGCCTTCCCGTGTGTGGCAGTGGTGTTTCCAAACCTGGGATCCCATTCCTGCCAGGAGATGAAGAGGGGGCACCTTCCCTCACCTGCTCGTGGAGCTGCCAAAGAGGAATGTGAAGTAAAGCAGCTCCTCAACCAAGGGCTGCTTTCAGGGGGTATCTTTATCTCAGCCTCTGCAAACAGAGTGTGTCTGTTGACTCCTGGCACTTCAGGGCACCACTGTCGCTGCTTCAAAAGTCAAACGAGATAATTGAAAGACGGCTCCAGGTTTTTGGGGCTGTGTGCTCAGGGCCAGCGTGTTTGATTTCCTTTGGTATTGGCTTAACAGGACTGCTCACCTAAAGGAAGCAGGATCTGAGGTGGAAAATAGACATCCTTGCAGCTACATATTGATCCTTGGAGCTGGATCTTGTCCATCCTTATGATGATGTGCCTTCTGGAAAAAAGACTTCTCTTATCTCAGCATCTGATGTCTGGTGAATTGTGACTTTGCTTAAGGACAAGGCCTGGCCACTTGTTTTTTCAGATGATGATACAGGGCAAACACAAATATGTGGCCTGAGCAGCTCAAAATTTTTGCTTTTTACTTCTTCCTTTATAAAATCTCATTCTCAAGAGACCAAGCAGACTCTGACCTTGCTCTCCTGGAGTGAATAGAAACTTTGCTGTTGGTTCCAGTGAATGTAGGACCACCACAGTGGGCACTGTAGGAAACCAATGGAAATTTTCTCCTGTTTACTCCAAAGGGTATTGATTCAGGCTGTAGCACTAAAAAACAGATAATGAAAAAAATATTACATTTATTTAATAAATATATTAACGACCCCATTAAATTAACAACCTTTCTTAAATAACAATCTCATTTTCAAAAATCTTTTCCATCAGAACTTGTGCCACCTTTTCTCCAAGTATTGTCAGGTCAGGTATTTGGAGGAACAATACTTTGGGATAAAGTGGCAAATTTGCTTTCTCTTTTGTGTGTTTTCCACATTGACTTACAGAGAAGCTGCTGTTCTCCTGACTAGTAGGTGTTTTCATTTTTTTCCATGTTTGTTATTAGGTACTTGCATGAAAAGTCAGAGTCTGCCAATAAACTTATTACAGTGGTTCTGTAAGGTACTTTTATGTTGTCTTCAGCATTTTGCCAACTTGCTGTAAAATACCTTATACATTTTTCCACTGTAGCACATTTTGCTTAAAAGTAGTGTAGCTTTGTCCTAGGGAAAAAAAAAACCCCAAAATCTCTGTATACAATTTTTTAAAAAAGTTGAGTGCTCAAGTAGAACACCACATTTCCACTCCAAGATTGAATATGCATAGTTCCTTGTCCATTGAGGTTGTTATGAATACAAATTTGGCAACAAAATTCGGGCAGCCAAGTGTTTTCACAAGTATTTCAGCTGTGCTTGAAATACTTGTGAAACCAAAACATACACAGGATGGAACACTGCCAAGACAACTTTTTAAAAAAAGTTATATGTATGTATTTAATTTTTTTTAGGAACCCCCCCACAGAAGGCTAAATTGTATTGCTAACTGTTTTTGAAAGTTAAGATTTCACACCTAATCAAGTCATAACATTTTCTGCACAAAATTACAGTGATCTTTATCCCTCAGGAAAATTTCATTTGCAAAGGTGTGCCTGATGTTAGTTAGCAGCAGATACTGTAAAAAAACAAAAATCCCAAACCAACCTAAAATATCCAAACAAAAACCTCCAAACAGGGCAAACACGGAGTGAGGAGGAATAATTCTGGATAATTCTCAGGTTTGTCACTTGGAGGATTGTCTGTTTGTGGAGAGCTCTCTGCCTTCCCCCTGCATTTCTTTATTCTCAGTGCCTTTGATACCAGCCACACCTGCACCAGTGTCTGGGCTGTCTCTCTTCTTATGCTTTGTGCTGCTTTGATGGTGACTATTTTTGTTATTCTCAGTGTTGTCTCTGTCTCTCTCTTATGAAATAACTCACCCTGCTCTGTAGTGCTGTTAATTTACAAGGTGCTTTACAAACACAGATAAGAGCCATCCAAGGCTCTCCTCTAAATAAGACAAGACAAATGCAAGATGAAGCACTTGAAGGCTGTTCAGGAAAGTGAGGACATGGAAATGACTTGTGCAAGGAGCTGAGGGGCTTGTGAAGTGGAGTTTCTGAGAGGAGGTTTAGGCAGGATGGAGAGGAAGTTGGGCAGTGGAGGAAAATGATCAGCTGCAAGGAGCACTGAGGTGAAATGTGAAGTGAAGAGCAAGGAAGAGAAAGGGAGGGGAAAAATTAACTTGGAGAAACAGGGGATAGTGTAAATGAGAAAAGCAGGAGGACACAATATTTATCAGAGGTTTATTCAGAATGATCTGGGAGGGAACTGAAGAAATCCATACACTTTGGGTGTATTTTTTTTTTTTTCTTTTGGACAAAACTTAACTATCTATGACAGCTTTACAGCCTACCTTGTTCTCAGCCTGTCTGTGATGACAAGCATAGCAAGCAGTGCTTATGTGTGGATGTGTTAAAAAGTTTCCCTACTATTTAAGATGTAAATATTATATATAAATATTATCCTGTGTCTATTTATGAAGGGAAAGAATTAAATATAAAACCTGATGGATGTCAGGAAGGCAAAGGAAGGTGGGTGTGCTCTTTTTGCCTTCATCATCTAACTGATTACTCCAACCAGTTTAAATATAATGTAATATAGTATAAAATAATACAGTATAACAAAGTAATTAATTAACCTTCTTAACAAGATGAAGTCCTCCTCATCGCTCCCCCCTGCCACAAGAGTCATCCTGTTCGGACAGTTTCCCACCGGCACTGATGTGTTTTTCCTCTCCATCCCTCACCCCTGGACCTGTTAGGCCAGCACCAAGTGAAGCAAGGGACGTGTGAGGTGGTGGCCGTGCACCGGTGCTGCAACAAGAACCGGATCGAGGAGCGCTCCCAGACCGTGAAGTGCTCCTGCTTCCCGGGCCAGGTGGCCGGCACCACGCGGGCTCAGCCCTCCTGCGTGGAAGGTGAGAGCTTCTGCTCGCTCCTGGCTCCTTTATCTTGTTGGAGGAGTTCGTTCTCCTTGATGTCTGACTTCCCACTGCCGCAAAAAAAAGCGTAATCCTTCCTTTTGTTCGTTTCGGAAGCATCTCTGTGCCTTGATGATAATGAGCCTGTGCATAAATCTTGGTGTAATTAATCCTCTTAATGTATGTACTGGGCCATTTCATGTCTGTGCCAATAAAACTTCTTAATTTTTTAACGCAAGAGTTCTCCTCTAAAACTAGTTTGAAAGCAGCGTAAGCCAAGAAATTCAAGCTTATGATATTAACTCTTCCAGATGTCTTAAGACTCTGGCTTGGCTAAAAATTCCCTGGATAATAAATGCAACCCTGAGACTGGGCATGCAGATGGTGCTGGGACATCTGACATGGAGAGCTTTTCTCTAGATCAATATTTCACCATTTAATGTGCCTATTTTTTGTAGGGGTTGCTGCTCTTGTTAAGTAAGTAAATCTACTCCAAGACAGACTTTTTCTTAAAGTTACCAAAATCCCTCATTTCATTAATTCATAAGGAAATCTTGTTTTTATTCTTTTGCACATAAAATTGCAAACAATTCACTTAAACATAAAAAGAAAAAGCTTCAAAGTCCAATTCTAATCTAATATTTAGAAATATTTAATGTCAGACATAGAACTCTAAATACATGTGAATCTTGTTTTTGATTTTTTTTAACCTATTATGAAGCTGTCAAAAAAGATATTTTTAAAAAGTAGATTTTTAAAAAAGATTTTTAGATGCCTACTGTTTTTATGCTTCATAATTCAGCAATACTGTTAAGTTTAACAGTGCATTTTCTTAGGGAGTTTTCTTGTTACATCAGAAGTGTCTTCTGCATTCTTAGGTGACACATCAAATAGCAGAAATACTTTTGTATATAACAGATAATAGAAGTCAGGCATTATTTTAAACTCACTTAAAGACTGCAAAGGTAACACTGTCATTCTATGGCAGAAATATAAATACTGCTGAAGCTTGATTCAGCCAACAGTTGCTGAAGGAATTTAACAGCTGGGGTTTTTTTTATTCAAGTATAGCTGCAATTAAGTGCAACAAAATATTATGACTGTAAGATTTTGACTTTTGAGGTGGAAGCCTTTGATTCCCCCTCACTCCTTAGGGTAATGCTTTAGCAGGCTTTGCTTATTTTTGCCAGCATCTGGGGCTAGAGTGAGTTGCTGCAGCACAGAAGCTGAGACTCTCTTTCCTCAGCCTCAGGATCTGAGGTGTTTTCTCCCACTCTGTACATACCCTTCTGTAGACTCCTACACTGTGAAAGCAAGAAACTGTTTGAGTCTTCAATTTGCATACTACAGGCTGATACAGACATTTAGGGGCTTTTTGCAGCACGTTTGTCCTGAGTGCAGGCTTGTTTAATTTGCCCTGAGTTTAAAGGGAAGGATACACCCAAATCATAGAATTCCAGCACGTTTGTCCCGAGTGCAGGCTTGTTTAGTTTGCCTGAGTTTAAAGGGAAGGATACACCCAAATCATAGAATTATTTTTCCAACAAAACAAAAATTTATAAAGCAACTGGCTTGTAGCTTTTCTTAATTTTCCTTGAACTTCAGGCCTTATCCAGCAGTGGTGACAATTTGCAATAGGGCAGCAATTCTCTCTGCTGTTGGTCCCTGGTGCTCCCACCCCAAATCCCCAGCCCTGCTTGCCCCAGCAGACCTATGGTTGCCACTCCTCATTCCCACTCCTCCAGGAAGGATCATGGTGCCTCCTTCCATCCCCATGTTTTTTTGTTTTTCTCTGTGCCCTGTTGGGCACAAATATTTATCTCTCACCTCCCTGGAAGCACAGTCAGGTTTCACCCATTTTTTGTCCACGATCAATCAGTATCGATGCAAATGATCTGAGACCCAAATGACTGGTGAAAGTTCATACATTTATTCTGCAGTGTTGTAAGACTGAAAGATTAGTTAATAAGAGCCATAGCAGTGTTCCAGAAGTGTATTTTTTCATAACATTTTTCAGTAAAAGCGCAAAACAAAAGTAATTGAATGAACATTTCAGCAATATCCTGATGTCAGCTTGCCTGCTTGACACCCCAATTTAAAGGTTGCAGAAGAACAAATATGTCTTGAAATTAAAAGGAAAAAAAAGTGCTTTACAAGAAGCAGACTCCATTATTTTTGTTCATCTCTTCTGAATGTGTTATCTTTTAAAGCATGTGATTCAATAGTTCGTGCACATAGTAGCATAATGCAGACTAGCTGAGTCCACATCTTAAGCCATATTTTATTTTGAAATCCAATATAGATTATGTAGGATTGTGTACTGATATATTTCATAATAATTTTCTGGGATTTGAGTGCCATGAACAATGCAAAACTGATAAATGTATGCAGGTGTTTGTTTGTGCTGTTGTTAACAGCAGGTTTATAAGGTCATGAATACTTTTCTAAAAATAACAGGCATGGTCTTAATAGAAATTGGCTTTAGGGTAGAAAATTAATAAATTTGCCCAGTTAAGGTCTACAACTCTAGCCTTCCAAAACATATTGCAGAAGTGGCAGTGTGACTGCAAATGGATTTTTAGTCAATATTCTACTGCTTGCCAGAGGTTTCCCCATTCTTACCTGCAGTATTTGCTGACACACCTCTGGGGTTTACATCTCTGTGCAATTCTATTTTCTTGCCCAGTGAAGGAAGAAACTGGCATTTCTCTGTCCAGTCTCCCATATGCATGTATGGCTTAAACAAGAAGCCTCAGCTTCACCCCCCCTCACAGCAGGTTCTGGACTGAAGCATGCAAATGAAGGAGGCAAGTAATTTTTGTAGTCTGTGGAGATGGAAAGGCAACTTCGAATGTTGGAATCAGTCTCTGGTGGTGCCTGCCTCTTTATCATTTGGGTATGGCATTTACCCTTCTGAGGGCTGGTGTTTAGCCACTTTTTTACCTCAAACACACTCCATGTAATTCACTATTAAACCAGTAATTGTTGATTTTACCTTTTGAAATCAACTAATGGCACAGACAACCTTCACAGCAAAAAAAAAAAAAAAACAAAAAAACAAAAAAAACCCCAAAAAACCACAAGGGTGCAAATAAGAGATATTTTTTCTCTTCCTTGCTTCTTTTTTTCTAGCTTCCATTGTCCTGCAGAAGTGGTGGTGTCACATGAACCCCTGTTTGGATGGAGAGGACTGTAAAGTACTACCAGACTATTCAGGTTGGTCTTGCAGCAGTGGAAATAAAGTCAAAACCACAAAGGCAAGTACAGAGATCACCTGTATTTAAAGATGCCAGTCTGCTGATTGCTCTTATTGCATTGTGTCCGTGGCTGTGAGCCCCAGTCTTGGCCTTCTCAAAGTTTTGGAAAGCTGTGATTAATTAGTTGCTCTCAGAGAGGAAATATTAGGTCAGAGCTGCCCCTTCATTCCTGCAGTCACACTGAAAATGCTCCTGATTCAGTCTGCAGTGAGCCAAAGAAACTTTTGTTGTGCTCAGTGCTAGAGGGATAATCATGTTCCAGAACCAATTCTTCAATTTGCAGACTGAGTACAGGGATCCAAGATCTTTACCACTGTCACATAAAGTTAGATTCTTGTGTTGGACAGCCTCATATCTTTTGAAAGTACCAGTCTGGCTTGGGAGTTGTTGAGAACCTGCACTGATGTCACTGTGCCACACTGAGCACCCCTGGAAATCAGGCTGGCTCAGAATATTTCTAATTACAGACCATCCTGTAACTGGCCTGATTTTTTGTTTTTTAAACCAGACCTTTGCTATGTCATCTTATTTCTTAATTAATTGAGAGAAAATATCATGTCCTCTGTCTGCTTGGCAATTTAAAATTATTTCAGTGCATTGAGGTTCAACAAGTCACAGCAAACTGCAGGTCTAAGTACATCATAAACCAGGAGCCTTTAGCAGGCAATAGCAGGGAGAGACATATGCTCAGCTTTTCCCTTTACAGCCTCTTCTAGCTGGGAAAGGATGTTCTTCATTAGGTTACAGTCTGAGTTAATAAGCAATACTGTCACCAAAGGCTGTTTAGTGAAGGCTGTTCTGAGGAGTGAAAACTGCACTAATTTCTGGATGGATGAGAGGAAATGGGATGTTTTGGGCAGCCATGGTGTGGCACTGCTGGTCTGCAGACATTGCACAGTGCCACAGAGGAGTGGCAGAGGCGTTGGAACTAGAAGACCTTTAAGAACTTTTTCAATCCAAACCTCTCTATGGTTCTATGGCCAATGGTATTTATCAAGTGCCAAAAATGTAGTCTACAGCATGCCTGGGTCCTGCTGATCTCCTGTGGTGGACACTACACCTGGAATCAATGTGGATAACTGGGACTCAGTTATTGCTAGATAAAGATCAACCTCAGCCTTTCAGGTTTTTTTCCCAGAGCTGATTTTTAACTACTCATTTGTAGATAAGGAGTAGCATTGTAGCATCACACTGAAGGGTGAGACTGGAGAATCAGGAGTTCTAGATATTGTACAAGACAACTTCATCTCTGGACACACCAGAAGAGAGATGACAGTTTATACCAAAAGGGCTTTATTGGAGAAGAGCGAGTCAGGTTAATTATCCTTTGAGTGAGGGTTAATTATCCTTGATGCCTTCACAGACACTCGAGGGGTGGGGGACAGAACAAAGACTTCAGTGTTGGCACTGATGAGTGAGGTGTCAGATCCTCAGTCATGCAGCTGCCTCTTCCTTCCTCTGGATAGTAAGGAAGCTAGAATGGAAAGACAAGTTCCCTTGTCACAGGGAAAAGGGAAGTATGGTGTAACTTATATTTTTATTTTGAAATAATAATATATTTTTATTTTGAAAACGAACCAAAGATTTGTCTCAGATCAATAAACAAAATATTTCTTAGGTATGTTATTAAAATTTTACACAAAGGGCTATTTGAACTGTCAGACCCACAGCCCAAACTGTTCAGCCACCTGTGAGCCTCAGCAATGGGATGCTCAAATCAGACACAGCAAAACCCTTTGGGACAATTACAGAAAGTGTATGCATCCATGATTTTTTTCCAGTTTAATAGCTGCCTTATATCTAAAACACAATAGTTGAGATCCATTCCATGCTAATTTTTTTCTGTGTTATGCACCAGAGATGATCTCATTACCATTTAAATTTGTAATCAATTTTTAAAGCTTTTTAAGACCCTGGGATCAGTGCTACGTGGGACAGTGGCTTCCACAGGTTAATTATACACTGAAAGAGGAAATGTCATTTAATCAACTTTAAGGCCTCTATCTTTCCATTCCATGAAAATAAGCAAAAATAGTGTAACTAAAATATTTGAAGCAGAGGAGACTGCTGACACTACTCAGCATTTAGATGAATAGTTAGTGTCTGAGTGGGACAGTTAAAATGTGCAAAGCTGAGGAATTTGCATCTTCCATCAGTTCCCTCAGGGAAGGAAATAAAAACTTCTCAATGCTGAGTGTCTGTTTAGTTTTGTGGCACATGTAGACACTGCAGAGCAGAGCTGACAAAGCTCTCCTCCTTCCAGCTGCCTGTTCTCATCCTTTTCCAGGACAGGAAATCCAGCAGGACTCTCCTCACTGTGCACCCAGAGCTGCTGGGCTTGTGCCCTGTGTGTGCATCAAGGCTTGAACACATCCCTGCAGCCCCTCCAGGGCCCTGTGGGGGTTCTGCTGGCTGGGGGAGATTTCTGCTGCAAGAACCATTTATTCCCATGTGCTGCCTGGTCCCTGATTCCCTCCCATAGGATGGAGCCCTGGGAATGGGCAGCAGTTTGCATGAATGGCCCTTTGGGATGTAAATCCTACACTTGTGCTGGAGGCATTGGTGTTGGGAATGACACGAAGCAAAGTAAAATAGGAGATGTCCAGGAGAGGTTGGTGGCAAATTTAATGGTGGATTGCCATTTCTTTATCAGCAAATCCCTCTCATGCTATCAAATAACATGTAATCAACATTTCTATAGAGATTCTGCTTCTCTGTGTGCTGTAAAGGTGTGGCTGGGGCAAGTTCATTCATTGTCTATTTGTGTGCACAGTTCTTTTGCAGTAACAATGCACCTGATATCATCTTTTTTTTGGTCAATTCTATATTAGTAACTCTTTCCTCTTCTTTCATAGGTAACACGGTAGCAAAGGCTAAACCTGTGGGTCACTCCCAGAACTGTGGCGTGTGGAACTGCTCCTTGGCTGTTACACAGACTCTTTTTTTGTCATGCTGTTATTGACTTCACCCTTTGAACTTGCAAAGGAGTTGGGAAAATGGGACAGCACTTCTCCTTTCAACTGTGGCTGCAGCTCCTGGACCTGGGTTTTGCTATTGAGTGGTACATTACAATCTCACAAGAAAAACCAGGGAGATTTGGTTCTACCTGAAATGCACCTTGGATTCCCAAGGATCTGAGACCTGGCTGAAAATTGTGGAAGAACACACCTGAGCTTCTCGTGGTGCACCAAGGATAAGACTTTCCTAATGACACAAAGATATGTAAAATTGTTTTAAGTGAGTTTAGGTCATGAATGTAACTTAGGGGATCATAGAATGAAAATGTTGATGTTAGAACTGGTACAGATGATCTCTAAGGTCTTTTCAACCTATATGATTCTATGGATTTGTCTGAGGTGTTTCTTGCATACAGTACAACATAAAAATACAAAGCTGATCCCAGTGAATTATGGGACTGTGTTAGTTAATTATGTCTAAGTGTATTTTCAACTGTAATTTAGTACCTATCAGGGTGGTATGAAGGTGAAAAGATGGAACTTATAGAATTAGTAACAATTATTGTAGGGCAAACTTTGGTTATAGCTGTGCAATTAGATTTATTTCCTTAGATAGTTCTAGGTAGTTTAACCTTTACATTCATAAGTGATGGCAGGAAAGCATGAGGAAGAGATAAAATTTGAAAGCAGGCATAGTTTTTCTTGTCCTAAAATAAATCCATTCTCTAGGGGAATAGCAAAGTATACATATTCCTTGCCTCTTTGAATCTAGATATGGAAAAGAATTTAGCCATTAGCTAGAAATAGTCATTGAGATGCCTCAGAAAAAGGAGAGCAGGCTTGTACTGCATAAGGAAGGCTTTCTGGAAGGGGAGTAATTTGTTTGGATTTTCATTGCTTTGGTTATATCCTAATAGGTAACATACTTAAAATTCATAAGCAAAATTCTAGATAAAAGTGAATCTTCAGTTTCAATTGCTTCTTGTTTAGAATGATTATAATAATTAAATGTCCAGTTCCTTGACAGACTTGAATTTCCAAGTGGTTACATTTTGAGACACATAATTGTTCCCTATTATTGTAGATGTATTTCATGCTCTTTTTCTTATTTGCCTGTTAGAGTTTTTTGTCATCAATCTTCATAAATAGAACAGAGGGTAGGGGTGAAGCTGTAGCCAGTCTGTTCCTCCTGACATTGCAGCAGACTGAAGTGCAGATGAACTGCTGGTGACCCAGACACAGAAGTCGTCGTTATGCTTTATGTAAATATTGGGGTAACGATGCACATCCAATTTTTATATAGACTGAAAGGTGAAAAAAACCCAAAAAACTGTCTAGTACTAATGTAAGTCATTGTGCATAAACTCTCTAGTGTATGGGAAAGATCCCATCAGCAGTGGGAAGCTGTTCAGGGTCATAATTATTAACTCCTGATTTGCTGGAGTGAGTGGGAGCATTCAGCCAGTTAATCCCACCAGAATCAGTGTGGAAGGATCTGGCCCTGTGTGTTTTTTTGGTTTTGATTTGCTTGGTTTAGGTCACTTTCAATGATGTATTTAATTACAGCTGGGACCATAGTGGTCACTGTACTCAGTGATAAGCAAAAAAGAGATTTTCTGCTCTGTGCTTGGACAGATGAACAGACTCTGCTTGCCCTAATGAGCTCTACATTTCCAATATTTTTCCATTGTTTTGATTTTCTGATTAAATTTTAAAATTACCTTTACTATTTTTATTGTTTCTCTGCATATATATTCATGGTGTCATCAGGGAAGATCCTTTTCATTTGCTATTTGTACAGTATTGGCCTGTAACTGGAATTTATTTATTTTGGTAAGTGTTCTATGGCGATGTTCAGTTAAAACTGTTGCTGAGATGTTCTAGGTGGGGAAAAAAAAAAGAGTTTTAGAGAAAAGTTGTCTATTTTTGAAGCTAAATACAAAGAAAATAAGGTGCTTTCCAGTGGTCATACACTGGATTTGTGGAGGAATTGAGGACAAAACGAGAACTTCTCTTATTCAGTCCTATCCCAAATGGGTGCAGTATGAAATAGCTCCCTGGAAGGTGCTT